CATCAATGGCTCCTTGTGTGTGTGTTTGACTCAGTTTCGTGGAATTTTCTGGTGGCCGCATTTAATTAAGGAAATGTTCAATGAGTATTATTTAAATTCTGGCTACGGTTTGGCCACATACAGCAGCCATATTGTAGAATGGAGCCTGAGACGAACTCCGGTCTTTTAATTAAATAATTCTAGAATAAATATTTACGACTAAATCTAAGGAAACCGTGTGTTTATAAAGAATAAGAATTTAAATTTAAGTGGCCTTAATTGTAGAAATTCAGCGGGCAACTTCGTAGCTACAATTGAAAGAAAACTAATCTATAATTTCTGTGTTTAAGATTACCATCTATGATGATTCATGTGATACAACTGCATGAATTTCCAATCATATAGAAACATGAAATCGAAATTAAGATAATAGAATGTCCCAAGTGATCGTACAAATGCATGGAAGCGAACGAAGCAAAATTAATAGCCTGTTTTACAATATATGTTGCTGTTTGATTGCAGAAGTGCGATTCAATTGTTCAAAGCTTAGAAACTTCTTTCTCTAAATTGCGATAACTTGAAACTTTCCTTATGAATACACCCATTTCTGCTTCAATACCGTACTTTATTTATTTATGAATATCGTCCGTTATTTTTGTTTGAATAAGGCCACCGCTGGATGACAAATTATTGTTCACAATTTGGTCGCTCCCTACGAAGTTGACGGCGTTGTTGCCGGCGCATTTGCGGGTGAGGTCAACCCTAGGCGACCTACTTCTGTCTCTCTGGCAACTAACTTTGGTAAACTATTAGCGCAGAGGCCAAGAATAAATAACACCGAAAGATAGATGTATTTTGTGATTTACAAAATGTCAGATTTACAAATTTAATAAAACCAGGGAATAAAGGAGCATGGGCAGAAAATAGGTACTGTAAGAGAAATAAATAAATAGTATAAATACTTAAGTAAAATAACTGAACTATAAACACAACGGGACATCGGGACATAGGCACAATATAAACAAGACTTGAATTGAGCAAAATAGTTAGTTGAATATAGGTAACTGACAAACATTAATAAATTATTCACGAGATCCGACTAGCCAAATCTTATTATGAACAATCGGTCCTACAACTTACTTTAGCCAGTGACGCCGAACATGACAAGACCGGAATGCTTACTACGGATCCTAGAAGTCACTTTCCTTTACCCTAAAAAAATGGTACAAGATAACTATTACCCTAAGATAACAAAAATATTGATACAACGTAATTATGAATAAATTATGAATGAGCGGATTTATTTTGCGATAAAACTCAATAAGTAACCCGGTTACAGCGTCAGCACAACAACTTCAGTTGAAACTACAGAGCCTCTCATAGATCAAGTATATATTCATCATATTTGTATATTTAGGGAAGAGCCCTTCATTTAAACATGTTTGGTTAAAAATAATGCCAGTTTTATTGAGAACATCTTTTGAGTTTAATCTCTCAAGCTTTCTGATAAGAGGTACAGTAACAGGATCAATAAGTCTTAAAATTTGTCCAAATGGAAGGTTAGGTAAATCCTGCGACGCGTTTCGCTCATCACTGAGCATCTTCAGGCAACGAGGTCGAGCAGCTGAGTAGACGAGTTGCTTGCGAGTTGGCTGCAGAGAGAAGACTAGTGTAGGTAGTGAACGAGGCCACGAATAAGGTTCTTATACAGTCGGTTGTACACTTGTTCTAGTTATGAAGTTTCAAAGTGCGTTCGGATCCAGTCGTTTGGTTGTTGAGGTATGGCTTTTTCCGTTGGATTAGAATTGCTTCCATTATTTGTAGTCTGTTGTAGTCTGGTTCGTGACGAAGTGAAGATGCTCAGTGATGAGCGAAACGCGTCGCAGGATTTACCTAACCTTCCATTTGGACAAATTTTAAGACTTATTGACCCTGTTACTGTACCTCTTATCAGAAAGCTTGAGAGATTAAACTCAAAAGATGTTCTCAATAAAACTGGCATTATTTTTAACCATTCATCATATTTTAAAGTTGAGAAAAATATATTTGATCATTTTCATCGGTGTTTTAAATAGATAAGCATACAAATTTTTACATCGTAAAAGTAGTCAGGAATTAACATAAGAAGTAAGTAATGTTTTCTTGGTCACATACTCGTACATGGATTTCATCTTATACTCTGGGGTAAGACATAAAATAAATTTGTTCCAGTGAGCACCTGTATATAATACAATGTATTGCTTTACTTCATTTCCTTAAGTTGTACTACAATTTTAATTTACCGTTTATAGAATTTATATCATGAATCTAACTGAATACTGTTCATCAAGTTTAATTAAACTGATAAATAGGGGGAATCCAGTCAAGAAAGTGACGCAGATCACCATGTGAGTGTTTACTATGTGTAATGACGAGTTTATCGTTTATTAAGCTGGTCAACACTTTTATCTGTAGTACGTTACTCAGAAGCCCATTGCAGTAAGAAACCATTGCATTTAATGGATATAAATTGTTGGCCCGGTGCATTCGGTTAACGCACACATTATTTCCGCAGGTTGTGAGTCAAGATGTTAGATGGAATTTCGCTAGACGTGTATCAGCGTGTCAGTTCCTACAAAACGCAGAAGAAGAAGAAAGCGCATCAACATGGACATCGCTAACTTGCAGTGCGAAGTTTGCTACTCGCAATTCAACTTGCGCAATTTAAAATAATTTGCCGAGATTGTCCACCGGTCCACTCGTGCTGTTTAACGTGCATCCAAAATTGTCAAGATTCTTCTCAAACTAAAACCTGTCGTCAATGCACAGAAGAATCTTTACAATCTATTGAAATATACGGGTTATCAGCAATTCGGTTCTCTATGCAGAATAGTCAAGTCAACGGCCGGTACCATTAGTGGCGGTGACGTCATGTTTGAGTATCAAGTTCACCAAATGTTTCTTGAACAAGGAACTGTCTGATATGCAAGAAGGGATCACCACTATCTGTAAATAAAATTATTATTATCTAATCATTAATTCCTTTGGATTACTCATGACTTTCACTGCAGAGATAAGATCTCAGCGGCCTGATAGCACCGCAGCAGTTCTTCATTGCGGTGCTCGCAAGTAGCAGACATGTGTATACGTGACATTTAATGGAGAGTTGAAAGCAGTTAAGAGTGTCCTAACTATCGAAGTGAGAGAAATATTACTTTTATCAAGTCGAGTATACAAATATTCAAAGGTTTTTGATCAGTTCAATAGTATTATCGTTTTGCTTAATGATTGAATATAATACTTTCTTGTTATTTGAATAATATTATATAATGAGGCATATATGCATAGAATAATATCGTAATATTTATTATAATCATGTTATAATTCATTAACTTATATGAGTTAATTATTATAATACTCGTGCTGTTGTATCGGTCGGGTGTTAAGATGTTAAGGCAAGACTCAAGACCCGAGTTTATCCCAAGTATTCCCATCCTAATAAGTAATGCAGAGACGGAAAGTACATTGACGAAAAGCCATTTATTGATAATTATAAAAAAATAATCACCATAACTCATTAAAAATTCATAACTAAAAAAAATTACAATTATTATTCATTATTTGAACTTTTGCTTCTAAAGACGCATCGAAAATAAAACAAAAAAATTCTTCATATATCTCGAGCAGCGGTTTGTTACCACCAGACTTTTTCATTAACCTCTTATTAAAATCGCTTCTTGTTTATATTGCCAGGCGAATTTTCATTGTGTTAATGTCTTTCTAATAAAACATAGAAAAATTAAAATAAAAAATTATATTAAGTTGTGTAAATTTTGTGTTATTTTAGTGATCGAAAACTCTATAATCCCAATTTAAAATCTGCAGTATTGGTAATTTATGTATTTTAACTTTGTCACACGTTCTTATTTAACATATTCACAGGCAGTGAGGTAAATTGCCATTTTCTACAACCCTCATTTCATAAGGCACCATTTATCAGTTATTGGGAGCTGAAGCTTACAAAGCTGTAAAATCAGAGTTCACTAATTTAAATGAATGGTGCAAAAAGTGACACCTGCTCTGCAGGTAGCACTGATACGTCCTTTTGCCGGCAAAACTGAGTCAAAAAGGCCCACACAAGGGCAAGAAGTGCATCACTATTTGGACAAATTCGGTCGATTTCTCTGAGTGTTACCATTAAGGTCCTCAAGATAACGTCACCTCACAAGTAACATCAGATACTTGCATGTCAGACGCAAGTCAGTAAATTCAATCTTACTATAAAGGATGATAAATAAATTTCTTCTTGTTTAACTCGATTTTGGAATTGTACATTTAAACGCGAAATTCGTCAGGTAATGTTTCATGGAAGTACACGGTGAAGAATCAGCTCACAGTGCCAGCATGAATGTGCGCCATCAGTGTTTTTCATGACTAAAATATTTCTTCCTGTTTATACGAATACTGGAACACTGGGGGAACCTCTCTTCTGTAACTTATTGAAATTTGAATTAGTGGCAAGATGCATGCTGATGTCCAAAATCAGTGCTTAAGCTCCCCATACAACCATTTTGTCACGAGTTATCTATGATTGTTCCTAAATTTTTAATTCCAGTCTAAATTTTGCGGAATTAACAACTAGTGTTATTGTAGATGAATGGAGTACAGGAAATTTGGCTTTTATAGAAATTATTTGCCGTCTAAAATTGTACTACTGTCATTTAAAAAGTTCAATTTCAAGTGTTACAAAACCTTCACCTGCTTGATAATGAAAATTGTATTTTTCGAAACAACGCAATCAAATAAAATGTCATTCAGAAACCTACTTTTTGACCTGCCGGCGCCCGCAAGAACTTTTGTTCGACTGATTGAAAAAACAAATAAGAAGATTATTAATAAAAAGCATGCTCTGGTCTTCAATCAAACTTGCATAAAATAAAAGCTTCTGCCGAATTACACCAAATTTTTGCTCGCAGACAGTTCAAGTCTCAGTAGTTTACAGTACGAATATATTTAAGCATCTTCGTCTCTCACCAGATTTAGGATTAAGGAAGGCTACAATAGACTTTATTTCCGCAGAAGCAGGATAAGTTCTAGGTTATTTCAAGTAAAAAGAGTTGCCTTTCCTTGAAGGAAAGAAGTGTTATCGATTAAACAAGCATATTAGACCAACAGATGCTGGATCACTAACTATCTCTCAGAAGGTTTGTATAAAGTGTACCTACATTTTTGTTGGACATCACTCAATAATTGTTGAAACTTATAAAATCTTCACTAGATGGCATGTGCGACGATAGAGTGCGAAGTTTGTAACGAGAACTTCGACTCGGGCAACCACAAACCCCTTTGCTTACCCTGCGGCCACACGTTTTGCTTTTCTTGCATTACAAATTTACCAGGACCCTCTGGAACCCAAATTTGCCCAAAATGTAGGAAACAACTCCCACAAGAAATTGGTCAAATGACGGTCAACTATGCATTGATTCCTCCAGAAAACACGGCTAGCCCACATCCCCCGCGCTCGCTGTCAGAGTCGCCGTGCCTCCATCATGGGAAGGCGCAGGAATGCCTGTGCGTGGACTGCATGGAACTCGTGTGTTCCACGTGCATTATGGACACTCATAAAAATCACGCATTTGAGTCAATAGGCGACCTGATGCAGAAGAATCAAGCTGTTTTGAACTCGTGGACAAAAATACGGACCACAATACACGATAAACTCGAGCGCGTGAATAACTTAGTCTCCATGTCAGATGATATCTTGAGTTTGATTGAGGAAATCATCAACCTGAAGACTGAATTTCAAGGATGGAAGGATTCGCTGCTGGTCCAGCAACTGTCGACAGAACAAGACCTCCAGGCCTGGGATGCCCCGGCCAACGGTGTGAATGAGAACTGGCGTCATGAGTGCAAAGAAATTCTTTGCCGTCTAAAATTGAAACCTACAGAAATTATGGAGACACAAGAGATCAGAGCGAGGTTGTTTGCAGCTTTGAAGAAATGTGATTCGTTACAGGTGAGTAAAGTGACTTCACGAGTTTATAAGATAGTTGGAGCAGACGTCAGCACCGATTGAAACTACAGAGCAGGCTTAGAGAAGGATTGGTCATTCCCACCGCATACTGACAGGTGTGCAAAATTAGAACCGCCGATTCAATTAAGCAGAGCGTTCGCCCTAAAATTGAAAATTTTCACTTTTTCGGTTTTTATACTCATCTTAAAGCTGACATTCTGAGCTATCCAACGGTACCAAAACCATCTCTGTACGTTGATTTATGCATTTCACACTTATTGTCACTGCAAACCTATCTCCTCCTAGAGTTTTGAAGACTACATCAATGAGACATATACCGTTCGATTTGCAAAGAAAAGATCTACAAACTGGTTGTGGGTTTTTTCCAAGTTCGTTATAGTTCGGATTTTATTTTGCAAAAAGCGGGGGGGAAAGTGGAGGTAAAATCGAAAATTTCGAAAAATTTTGGACAAAATGCTCCCACACCCACAAAATTGTGAAATTAAAAAAAACCTACGACCAGTTTGTAGATATGGCCTTTACGCATCGAATGATATGTGTTTCAATGTTGTAGCTTGAAAATACAAGGAGGAGATAGGTTTTCTAAAATGGCCCTTTTTAGCCGTTTTCTAAGAATTTCACATTTTCTTTCAATTTTTTTCGAAAAATTGACATGAATAAAACCTGAGTTCTTTTAGGGTTTACACATTTGTACCAAATTTCAAATTGATCCCTCTGTAAATTACCGAGATAAAATTTAGGGCGAACGCTCCCCTTAATATAATATAAATCAATAAAAAATAATTTATTATTCAAATTTGCTAGCTTCAAATGTATTATACAACGATTTAGATGCGATTCAATAAACTGAAAGATCATTTCAGAGCTACATAAAGATTCATTTTTATTTAATATGAATGGCATAAAATGAGAAGAAAAGGGTTAAGCGTGGAAATATGACCTTTATCTGCCTAGTAAGCGCTTTTCTTACATTAATTCACTTTTTCTACTCCTACAAACCCATTCATATTATTTAACAACCTATATTGCATGTAGAACTACTCTTTGTCTATATAAATTACAACATGAAAAATTTCCATTTAATTTCCAGACATATGAGCTTGCTACATATGAGCACGGGGTGCCTTGGACAGTCGCCAGCTGCGATGAGAGAGAGCGAGCTGTCGCCAGCCTGTCCAACAACATCAAGCCCAGTCGCCTTGTGGCGCTGTCCACCCACACCCGCCCCATCCCGCAGCAGGGGGAGCTGCTGTCCCGCCTCGCCGCCCACCACACCGGCGACATCAGCCTGCTGCCCCTGGACTCTTTCTGGAGGCCAGCAGGGCAGTTGGATGAAGGCATGGGAGCCATCATCAACAAGTCAGGGTACATTGGTTAATAGTTTGACAATTCAGAAAATTGATCTCAATATGAACGGGTGAAAACTAATAAAATGCTCATCACCCCATCGAAATTTTTCGGGTGGTTAGCTTCTGAATTAAAGATGCCTTTAGGTCGGCCAGCGCGTAAATTGGCGGCTCTATATCCGCTTTACCCTCTGGTAGTACGAGTGTAATAAGCTTCAGATTAGAATCCGGTGATATTTTTATTATTTAATAAATTCATTTAATAATATATTATGATAAGATTATGGCGCTCAGTCGTTGATCGCCATATGTCGGTCAATGATAGCACCACACAAGATGGCGGCTGTTGTCATGCCGCATGCCACAAGATGCAGGATAATCACTGCCGTCCTCCCACAGGGATGGGCATGTTGTTGACCTCTACATGAAGGACTGCGTGCCCCCGTTGGGACCAGCGGTGCCCAGTTACGCCCAATTGCGTAGGGCCCCGCGCCTAACTGCGGAAAAACAATTGAACGAAGAACACTCTGACGAGGAACACTCTGACGAGGAACACTCGAACGGGGAATTTTGCCGTTGTTTCTGATTTTAAGATCGGGAAAGATTCGAAAGCTTCAAATCTTCTTTCTATTTCTTAAGGCGTTGGAGGATAACGAAAAGTGATTGGCTGAAATGCCAGGGGGATAAGATTTTATGAAAAATGAAATTGTTATTCTTGAGCCTGTAAAACTGTAAGAAGTGATGCTGAGATCAGGAAATGTCAACATTATTACAAATATTACCATTATTGCAAATGTCACCGTTCTTACAAATGTCAAAATTGTTACTAATGTTACCGTTCTTACACAAGTCAACATTATTACAAATGTCGACATTCTTACAAATGTCGACGTTTTTGCAATAGTCAACATTATTACAAATGTCAACATTCCTACAAATATCAACATTCATACAAATGTCAACATTCTTATATATGTAAACATTCGTACAAAGGGCAACATTTTTACAAATGTCATTAATTAGACTGTGTTTTTTGCGGGATTAATTTTGCAGAGTATATCTCTTTATAGGACTGAATAGAACAATAAATGCGTGATTGAATTACCCACACGAGTTTCATTCACACCTCACCGTCAGCCTAAAGAAGGCGAAGAATGTATGCCATAGTTATAGTCGCGGCGGTCCTGGCGACTGTATAGTGTCAGGGGATATTGAGATGAAGGCGAGGAATGTCTCAGCAGACAGACGACCTGCACCCAGTCGACGTCGCATCAGAGAGGAGATCAGGCATAAATAGTTATCAAGTGTAATGATCTTGCGTGCCGAGGTGCAAATAAAATTGTCATTCAGAAATAATTATATTATTTAATGCTGACATATTCGAGTATACTAGATTAAAGTTGATTGGAGCAGAAGAGGGGCAAGGCGTTGGTATCGTTTTATTTTACGGTGGCTCCCTACACAGAACAAAGTCTAATTCACCTTCAATTTGATAAATTAAATCACACCCAAATCAAAATGAAATTAAGCCTCAAATATTAGCAAACAAATAATAATACATCTCTAGTAAACATGAGATGGATACTACAGTAACAGATACCGTAAAATATAAACTAGAACATTTTCCGTACCTCTGCAGTTGCTGAATTACACACAATAATAATAGGGCAGTTGCTGAATTACACATAAAAATCCTTGCACGTAACCCAATTAAAGGCAAGTCCGCATAGAAATCGCACACTGTTACAGGAACGTCCACTCATACTTCTAAATTCAACACGTCGACTACTCTGATAGTTTTCATCATTAAGTGTTTCCAGAAATCAATAATACTCTGCCACGATCCTTACAGCAGGTCAATAATAGATGCTAATATCAAGTAAATAATAGCTGCTAATATCAAGTCAATAATAGCTCCTAATATCAAGTAAGTAATAGCTGCTAATATAAAGTGAATAATAGCTGCTAATATCAAGTCATTAAATTGATAGGAGTCGAAAGGGGTCAATAAATTGAGAGGAGTTGAATTAGGTAGATAAATAATAAATAAAAATTTTTGATTATGTTTTTAAGACCTGGCATATATATGCATACATATGTTTTTCTTTAATGCAGGTTTCGTTGAAGACTATTTCAGAATCGCCTTTCCGGACACCGGACAACAAAATTTACCATCAAATCAACGGTGTTGCCATGCATGGGCAGCCCTCTGGGTCCAACCTTTGCTGAATTCTACATGTGCGAACTAGAAAACCCAGTATTGTCGGACGCAAAAATCAGGCCTGAGCTCTATATACTGTAGATACGTCGACGACATTTTTGTCGTTGCTCGAGATGAGGATTGTATCCATAATACCTATGTTTGTACTAATGTCATTTCAAAATTTCAATTTCAAGCGTTGCAAAACTCTTCCTCTTCTATTTGATAATGAATGAAGTTGTATTCGAAACGTCGTAAAATTATAATAAAATGTCCCTTGGAAACCTGATATTTGACTTTTCAGTTCCTATCAAGAGCCTAATTCGCGGAATAGAGAAAAACAATATGAAAGTTCACATGAAATGCAAGTTCACATGAATGTGTCTGTGCTCTTTGGCCGGGCCAAATTGTGTCAGGGTAACCCACACTTAAGCAAACACACACTGAAGTGCATCGCTATTTCAATAAAACCTCTTATAATTTTCTTACTGTAATCTACGTACTTTCACACAGAGTCCATTCAAAGCCTTATATAAAACCTTGAACAAGCAAGCTGAACAATCCATCAATTGCAGATACGAGCTTTATCCGTCATAATTAACCTACAGTTACGCGCATATTTATTGGCAACACGCTTAAAAATATTTAATTTGAGAAATAATATAATATGAAGCATTTATTTTCAGTTAAATTGATCAATGAACATCTAATTACTGTGCATAACGGATAGTAAAACGTCAGATCTTTGTTGTATTTATATTTATTAGAAAAACACCAGAAGCAAAAGTAATGGCAACAGTTAAAAAAAACATATAAATTGTTCGCAACTCCAAATTAATACTTTGTGTGACCTCCCTTGGCAGCAATGATAGCCGACAGACGCTTCTAGTGTGTTTCTACGAGGTGTTGCCATGTTTTAGTAGGAATCTTGCGCCACTCTTCAATGGCAAAAGTCTTCAATTTTCCGATGTTGCTGGGTCTTCTTTTATGAACACGCCTCTTGATTTCCCTCCATAAATTTTCAATTGGATTTAAATCTGGGCTTTGGGAAGGCCATTCCAACACTCTCAATTTCTGTGTAGCAAATTATTTCTATGTTTATTTGCTTGTGTGCTTAAGGTCATTATCCTGTTGAAAGACAAATGCCCGTCCAATATGCAGTTTTCTTGCCGATTGCTTAACATTATCAGTTAAAATGTGTTGATATCCTTCAGAATTCATGATGCCATCTATCACAAAAATATTCCCAGTACCTGCAGCAGCGAAGCATCCCCACAACATGATGGACCCTCCACCATGCTTCACAGTAGGTAGAGTGTTCTTTTCCAGCAGAGCTTCACCAGATTTCCTCCATACAAAGCGGTTGTCATTCACAACAAGAAGTTCAAGCTTTGTCTCGTCCGACCACAATATATTATTGAGTTCTGCTTGAGTAGCACCGACCCAGTTAAAATTTTGAGCCGAGACCGGCGCCGGGTTTAGCCGGGCTGGTCGCGCTTTAGCAGGATGGAGCCGTGAAACTATAACCGGCCATCTATCCCTAAAACTGCGCTGCGCCATGGCTGATATAGAGACAAAATTCTAGCAGCTCGGCAGGG